AGTCATAGTAAGTTTACGCTGATGTAAAGTACCGTAGAGATTGCTTCAAAGCTACCTTCAACAATTGCATGTCTGAAGGGTTATCTGTACGCTAAGTCCAAACTTCATAGCCACTTAAATCTTTTTGTACCAAAACTACTGCAAGCACTCAAATGGCAGCGCCAAAACAATGACTACTTTACACCATAATCTCAAGATGACACTCAATATGCTTAAACATAAACCTATATTCAGACTAGCCTTCAGTTCCAATCATGAACATCTAGAAAATTTGGCAATGAAAGTAGTATTGACTCAAACTGTGGTCACACTTTCTTGTGACACCTGCACTTCGATATATTCTAGTTAAGAAGTTGAATCGAATGAATGCTATTCTCTCAGTTGCTATTTGGTAAATATACATCATGTTATTTTCTAAGAGATAATGTCTACTTATTAGTGCACATGACTTTGGATGGATTCTGCTACATGTGCATCATTAAGAAAATCTATGGCTAGAAGGAATTTGATATCTTTACTCTAGAAAGTTGAAATGAGCTCATAACAACTAGGAATCAGGAGAAATTTGTTTCACAAAAAAGATTAGCAAACTTCTCCAAAGAGACCTCCTCAAGATTGTTTCTTTGCTATTTAAGAATTTTAGTTCACACCCATTATTGTTAGGTAAATCCGGTATTGTCTCATAAATATTGATGATGCAATACTTGGAACATTCTCTGAGATCTCAATCATTGGAGAAGAAAACGCGAAGAAAAAGCAAAGCAACAAGACTGTGGTTGTATAGCAAAGAATGTGTGTCGAGTATCAGTCGAAAGCACTTCAGCTTTTTACCACTGATAAGCGGACTCAATTGTCAATATTTATTAAATGAGAAATGCTTTCGACATTAAAAATTCACCTCAAAAGTCGACTCTTGCCCTCTACTTAAATTTTTCAGAATATCATTGCCAAAGGGATCTTTCTCTAGTGTTACGCGAATGAACATCTGGGTGCTTAACATTTTGGACAGCATATTTGCATATGCTGTTTCGTAGGTCTTAATAATAAATTCCAGTTGAATTTGAATTGAATGTATTCCATCTCACGTTTCAGCTTTTTTATACTTAATATTAAGCACTATGACTTCTTAGAACGGGAGTACAATTTCAAAGCTCCATATGTACTTAACTGGAACTGCACTTTCTACTACATTTTCTGTAATTTTCGAAAAGTCAATAATCAATTTATTTACCAACTGAGTCATGTAGTTGAAGAATGAGTCGTCAAACTCTCAGCAAATGTAAACATGTGCCCGTAAAGTTTTACCCAATGGTAATGACTATTTCTCTGTGATTCTAGGTAAATTACGCTTGAGCACTTCTTTTTCCAATAAATTCTCATACTGACTTTATGCATGCTGGCATAAACAATCACAAATTTCTACTCGAATAGGAACATTTCATGCTCAACGTGGTTTTGCATAAAATGTGTTACAGACAAAACTTTGCAAAAGGAATCTAATCAAGGGCATGCTCTTTTGTAGTTTCTCAGTTGTCTTTATGGTTTTATTAGTTAAACACATGAGTTCTAAGTTTAGAAATTTTTGAAATTACTGTGGGTTTTTTGATTACTTCTATGAGAGCAACGGAAGTTTGTTCCTAAATGTGTCCATCAAAACAAGTTTATTTCTTGTAACCGAAATAGCTACGAGATGAGGAGCGAATGAAGCTTTTACTCATCATAAACACCTCTTTATTGTTTGTGAGGATAGTGCTCCACACGATGTTTTGTTTGAACATTCTATGTGCCCCCCTGATATCATGTCTCATCTTATAGAGGCGGGTACTCATTATAACAAATAACCCCATCAAGAAAGTTGATCGGTCGAGGTTTTTTGCAAAGATATCTCAGCTCACTTTTGTAAAGAATTTTCACCATCTACTAGCTTTTTTTGAGATGTTTTCAGTATTGATCATATGGTATACTCAGATTAATCTTTGTTGCACGTATTCGAGTTCATTAGCTCATTTTCTTTGTTATCCTCATTCAGCTTTATCTAGTGCTCCTTAGTCACTTATACAGTTTCACATGTGAACTCCTTTTCAGATGCCCTTCGCGCTTTTGCCTAGTTGACCATGAAACAAAGAACGGCATTCAATCAGCCTGACAAAAAAGAAGGTTACGCATCGTTGTCTCGGACCACATCTTCAAATCTTCCTGTGATATCTTTCCAACAATATGTGCAATCTTGGTCAGGGAAGCAGATTGCTCGTTGGGTTGAAGGTTCGATTCTTATCCAATTTTTTAGGAGAACTTAAAAAACTAGCAAACTCTCTTTCTACCTCTTGAGTTAATTCTTGGTATTATAAGTCATTCTTTCAATACATGGTTTTCGCGTGTTGTCACCAGCTCTACCTTGGGATAGTTGAAATAACGAGGATTGCATGACAGGTGAAAATCCCATATTTTAAAGAAATATTTTCATCCACTACGATAGCCGGATATCACGACACTGGATATCATACTAGAATTTAATGGCTGGGGTCAACGGTGCAATTTTCAGTAATTCCTTAATACAAGTAGATTTGTTAGTTTTATCGGAAAAGCGCTAGATTTAATATAGCACTACTAGAACTTATCGTTAGCTCGCTTGACGACGAACCTTTTTGTTAAATTGTTTTTACCAAAATTCAGGCCTTGGAGATGCGATGAATCCATATCTTGGAACGATTCGCGACAGTATACGAAGCGGAAAGCACCTACACCTAATTGACGACGAGATGTTGGCTAATATCGGAATCACAGCTTTGGGTCCCCGAAAAACTATATTACAGGCTGTTCAGCTGTTACTATATTTTGTATGTGAATATTGTGTAGATATCAATCGATCAGAATACCTAATTTTATATACTATTACATTATAGTGTACAGAAGCTCCGTCAGAAAACTTGCAAAGCCTATCTATGAAAGTTGTTATTGCTTGCAAAGCAGTTGCTCTTGAGTTGGGTAAGGCTTTGCGATGCAGAGACGAGAAGGTGAGTTCTTTTCTTGTTGTGATTCTTCTGCTCATTTGCATTAATTTGAAGATGTCGACTTTGAAATGACTTCGTATATTTCAGCCGCTAACTAGAAATCACGTTGTTGCTGTGCTGAACAGCATCTCTTTATCTATGTCCATTTTAGTTGAGCATGTGAAGAAACTTCTTTTTTGGCTAGACAGGTAGTATTTCTGTCAAATGTTCCAGCTTTTCCTAAAGTCCTTAATCTAGGAGCCCCTTCGACGAGCTTGTGCAATATATCGAACTGAGAAACCGAATTTCCGTCTCCATCTGGGATCTCGTGCGCAGTGTCAACGTTCAGCCAAAAACTCTTTTCGAAATCGCATCAGACATCATTCAGGTGAGTAAAATTGTTACTTCAACTTGCTATTGTTCTAATTTTCCAGCGTTCCCAAGCTACTCTTATGTCATTGTGGATATTAGAGAACACATCATAGGAAGTCGAAATTACAAAATAATGTTCAAACTGTTAGGCAAAATAATATTTTAAAATGATCTATATATTATGAGTGGGGGCGCTGTCTAACGCGTGACGGGAGTTGGGCAGGGATTGTTC